ATAGCTGATGTAATAACATTCCAGGCTGTGGCTGGTTGGCTGGGAAATCATGAAATGCAACATGCTGGCTTGTATTTGTTCTTTCAGTGGAGTGAGGTCTGCATGAGATGTGTTTGAAGCAGACCTTGGCTTCACAAGGCTTCTTTTTCTGCAGAGGTGGGATAGTCCAGTATTTCTTGTTCAGTACCCATTTCTAAAATGGGTAAATACTGAGCCGGCCGTGAAGATGGTATGAAAGTTGCATTTGATCCTCCATTTTCCAAAATGAGTTCTAGGAACCGATCAGCTATAAAGATTATAAATGTAATATTTTTCTCCCTGCATCGTGTCTGTAAGAAAAACCCTCTTTCTCATGAAGCTTTTGGGAGCAGAGAGATTTCCAGATATCTCACATGACCTGCATTTGTGATGTTAGCATGGGGTTAAACATTTTGTTAGTCACTACTCATGCTCCAATAGTCATCTGCAAGGGCATCAATACAGCCATTTCCATCTCTTGACACGAATGGAAGAATTATGCCAGACATCCCCTCTTTATCCCTTCCCCCATTTCTGTAGAAACCTCACATTTAGCCCTATGTGTGGAAAAACTAAACCTCTAGTAAAAAATGAGTCAGGCAAATGTGTTCAGAGCTGGTGATTCATGAAGTGGAAAGAATTTAGACCAGTCTTTCTCAACCTCAGCAACTTCCAGATGTGAGGACTTCAACTCCCAGCGCTCCTCAGCCAGTCTTGCTGACTGGAGAATTCTAAATGTAGATTATGCTGCATGGTTGACAAGGCAGACTAGTTTACTTATTTATTTAGCATATGGTATATCATACATGGACTAGCAATATCTTCGAGACCGCCTCCTGCCACAGATTACCTCCCACCGACCTGTACGCTCCCACAGAGTGGGTCTCCTCGGGGTGCCGTCGGCCAGACAGTGCCGGCTGGCGACCCCAAGGGGGAGGGCCTTCTCTGTGGGAGCTCCCACCCTCTGGAACGAACTGCCCCCAGAGATCAGGGTGATCCCTGATCTCCCTTCCTTCCGCCGCGCCCTCAAGACGTGGTTGTTCCAGCTCGCGGGACTGGCCTGAGGGATTTTAAAGGGGTTTTAATTACTTTTAAATTGGACGTATTTAAATATTTCTTTTTAATCGATTTTTAATTAGATGTATAACATGTTAGCATTTTATCTATTGTCAGCCGCCCTGAGTCCGCAAGGAGAAGGGCGGGATATAAATGTAATTAAATAAATAAATAAATAAATAAAATATATCTTAATATTTCAGCTAGATTAGAAAAAAAACCAATAAAATGTTTAAAAGATCTATGTTCAAATACCAATATCTAAGCCAGGGCTCTTCAAACTTGGCCCTTTGATGACTTGTGGACTTCAACTCCCAGAATTCCTCAGCCAGGCACAGCGTGCCTGGCTGAGGAATTCTGGGAGTTGAAGTCCACAAGTCATCAAAGGGCCAAGTTTGAAGACCCCTGATCTAAGCCATCTAACAGTTGAAGCGCAGCATCGTTTATATTAAAAAAACAACCACCAGATACTGGACTGGTATATGCTCTCAGCTTACAGTCAGTCATAATGTGATCTACAGTTTTAGTCACACTGAGGGGACGACAAAATGCATCATTTATACAGAGGGTCTTGGCAGAGTCCAATTCAGGATTGCCCACTGCTGGCATCCAGACTACTCTGTAGACCAGTGGTGGCGAACCTATGGCACGGGTGCCAGAGGCAGCACTCAGAGCCCTCTCTGTGGGCACGCGCGCCATGCCCCAGAGATGGCAACCGTCCCTCTTCAACCAGCCGCCCGCTAACTCACCGAGGTCCCACGTGGCCGGATGCATCCCAACACGGCTAATTTCTCTCCCCCCCCCACCCGCCCTGCCTCGCCTCGCCTTGTCTCGCCTCACCCCTCAGGACGAGCCTCCTACCCACCGCCCCACCTGCCAGAGACCCCCCGGATCTCCGCCAACCCTGCCTGGCTCCCACAGGCCTCCCTCCCCACGAACAACATCGAGGTGATCATGCCCACCTTGGCCACACCCACCCAATCTGCCATGACCACCACAGCCACGCCCACCCAGTGGGCCACGCCCACCCGGCACCCGGCGATAAATAAGTGGGTTTTGGGTTGCAGTTGGGGCACTCGGTCTCTAAAAGGTTCGCCATCACTGCTGTAGACTTTCCCAGCTCTCCAAATTATACGGCAACGAAAACGAAAACAAATACATGTCAGGCTACGCACAGGACAGGCAGTTGATTTGGTCGATCTCACCAATCTGGGTTCTGGTGATTTCTGCCCTTGTTCGGTTCAACAAAGTGTGTACACTGCAACATAGGAAGCATTAGGGGGAGAATTAAGAAGATTTGGGGATTGCCTGTAATTTTATATGTATGGAGATGACAGGGAATGCCATTGTTTTAGGGATGCCCCCCAGAATGTTGGTAAATAAAAAGTGCTACGTAGCTATGCAAATATTGACCATATTTGACGGTAGCAGGTAGCAGCACTAAAGCTGTGCTTGACTTTTCAAGGGGGAGAAAAATCTAAGCAGGATCAATTTGGTTAGCACCTGAATGGGAAACTAGGATATCCCAGACTATATGATACACGTAGGGCTTTTTGAGCTATGTCTGTGCTAGGATTCAGAGTTAGATCACAAAAGGTGATTACTCTCCCCCCCCCCCGTGTTTTTTTTTAGTTCCACCTTTTTTAATATATAACTCAAGGCAGCAAACATAGCAATACTCCTTCCTCCTCCTTTTATTTTCCCCACAACAACCTTGTGAGGTGGGTTGGGCTAAGAAAGAGTGACCAGCCCAAAGCCACCCAGCTGGTTTTCATCCATAAGATGGGACTAAAACTCACTGTCTCCTGGTTTCTAGGCCAGCAGCTTAGCCACTGCACCAGGGGTCTTCAAACCTGGCCCTTCTATGACTTGTGGACTTCAACTCCCAGAATTCCTCAGCCAGGCATGCTGGATGAGGAATTCTGGGAGTTGAAGTCCACAAGTCATAAAAGGGCCAAGTTTGAAGACCCCTGCACTACACCAAAGCGACTCTCATTCATTCATTCATGTGCTGACAGTTAAGGAAAGTATACAGGACTCCCTTCTCCCAGTTTATTCACATAACAACCCTGTGCTGACTCAGGAATTCTGGGAGTTGAAGTCCATGAGTCATAAAAGAGCCAAGGTTGCCTACCTCTAGTCTAGGCTGAGGGAGGAAGCCTGTATGCTAAGGTCAGTGATGAATTTATTGTTTGAGAGGACAAGAAAGGAAAGAAAGAAAGAAAATAATTATTAATCCCTCCTTTTTGGAAATAAAAAATCTGTATAAGTAAAAACTTTCCATTTGAAAGTTAACAGGGCATGCAGCTATGTTGGGCATGGAGAACATACCTTCATAAATTCTTCAGTAAATCTTCCCTTGACTTAAGGAAAGTGTTGCCTTTATGCACATACTGTACTAGGTTTATTTTTCTCATGTTCAATATGATCTTGCCTGTGGAGTTAACAGAAATGCTTAGCTTAGCAGGTCAACATTGGAAGTGCACTACAATTCTGATTGCCAGAGATCAATCTAAAATGCATGCAGTGTGGCTGTTTGTGGGAAAAACAACATCAATACTCATCAGCTGGGTGAAGCAGCATATGGTACCGTATCTGGAAGATAATAGGATGAACGTGGTTTCTTTTTTTTTCTGACTTAGGAACAGAGAAATAATAAATGCAGAGGAATTCTTGCTGAATTCCACTTACACTGTGATTCCTATCTGCCTGTGAAGGATCATCAGTTCTAAATTTGGAATACTGGAAGAGAGAAATACTGTGATGATGAGAAGCAATGTTTATATCAAAGCAGTCACTGAATGGTTTCATAAATCACAAACCTTCACAAAGGTTGCAACTCTAGGCAAGTTATGTGAACTCAGCTGTTGTATGCTGAGATTCATGGTTTTTAATGTGGAAGCCCTCAACCTTTCTTGATTCATGCTGCCCTTAGTGTCTCAATAATTTTTTCCACAATGCTCCAGGAAGTTTGTGCGGTATCCATTAGAAGTCTGTTGCTGTGTTATTTTCCATTACTCTTGTGAGTTAACTGTGGTAGCCTGAGGCACCTTGGCACATGGTTTGAAAATCATGGGCTTCGTGTAATATGTGAATCCAACCTATTAATATGTACAGGTATGAAAATTAAATGAGCTTAATGCCTTGTACAAACCAATAATCTGTGAGAGCACCCAACTACTTGCCTTGAAGCAGACATAAAGGGCATTTTTCATGTTACAGATTCAGCCTGGTCCAAGTAGCTCTTAGTTTTGCAAATTTGAAACTTGGGTTCAAATGCCCATTGTGCTAATTTCACAGGATTATATTTAAAATGCATAATATCTCGACTCAAGTGTTTGGTTTCATGGGATTCCTGTGACTGTGATAACACTGTAAAGCATTCTCAGGTAAAATTTCTCTACATGCACGGTTCATCTATAACCATGTTAAATCCATAGTGAATTAAAAAGCTTTCGAAGTCTGAATTGCTATAACAATTGGTTATTTAATGAAAAACTGACTGACGCTAATATATCTGAAAATCATGCTAGTTGCAGATTATATTGAGTGCATTGTTGGTAAACCTGAAGGGTCAGGTTGAGGCTGATTACTCTGGAGAAAGTGTGTGATTGTTGGGAATCAATATCGACTTGACGACAGTGTTTAATTAATGTGCAGATTTTACTTTAAAAACAATAATAATGATTATAGCAACCACTAGATGGCAATATAATGTAGCATTATGTGCTCTTCCAAATACAGGTTATTGCTCTTTAAATGCAACAAAACCTGTAGTTCAGGAGCCCGTGTTTTTCTGTAGATATTGCAATGCAAGCTATCAGAAAAAAAGAAAAAAACCAACTAAGAAACATTCTAGATAAGTTTGTTTGTTGAAGTAAGCTTTGAGGTATCTTTGTTATATGTTTTTTTTCCCCTATCCTTAGGAAAGATTTGAAGCACTTTTCACAATCTACGATGCTCACGTTACATTCCAGTTATTTAAAAGCTTCCGAAGAGTAAGGATAAACTTTAGCAGTCCAGAAGCAGCAGCCAGAGCACGGATAGAACTCCATGAGACAGATTTTAATGGGAAAAAACTGAAGCTATATTTTGCCCAGGTATATGTGTTTCTTATTTGAATCCCCCCCACTCTCTGTTAAGCACAGAAATAGTTCCCAGGGGCCCTCCTCACTCCTGCTCCATTTCATCTACTAGTACAACAATTTGTACCAGGTTTATGTTAAGTCAGATAGTATAATTATCTTAACCTTTTAAAAGCCCATTTGAAATCCTTACTGACAAGCCCTGCCTACCTTGTGATGCTCCTGATACAAAAGTAGCTGCTTTCATAGGGTACCTGTAGTTCTTTCACCACAAAAATAGACTTGGAGAAGTTAAATGCATCCTACATGGATAACTCGTCAGGACAGCTGACAAACAAAATGGATAGAGAAAACCGTGTCTACTGGGAAGTCATCTGGATGTGGATCATTACATTTCTTGCAGATGTGCTGTGATGTGCTATATCTTAATGGTCAGAGAATCAGGATTGTCAAATCTCCATACTACAAGCACACACACACAAAGCACACACAGTGTTCTGGACTTGGCAAAGAACACTGCATTAAAAAAAATAGAATACTTTTTACAGGATATTATTTTTGTGCCCTGCATCAGTTACGCAGAATATCTCTTTTCTTTATTTCCATTCTGGTAGTCCCACAAATATGCAACATCCCTACACGGAATCTTCCCACCTTCTTCTTTTTGATTCATTCTAATCTGCTCAGAATTCAGCAACATTTGCCATAAATGTGCATGGCTCTATAGGCTATTAAAAATATTGGAAAGTTACATCCATGGCTGGAGATAAAATCTTAGCTTAGTGATTGATTCAGCTGTAAAATAAAACAGGAGTGACCTTTCTTGCTAGAATACTGAATAAGTGGATACTTAAAATGGATGGGTACTTAAATAGACCTTTAATTTGGCTCAAGCCATGTATTATTTACTAACTACCTTGGTAAGTGTTTAACTCAAATAGCTAGAAGAAAATTAACTATGCACTTGGAATCAAGTGTCTTGTCCAATCGGTGAAATAACAACCCCAAATAATTTGTATAGCTTTCCCAATCTTGTGTCCTCTAGATGTGATATATTATAGCTTTCCCAATCTTGTCTCCTCTAGACGTGATATACAACAATTCCCAACATTTTTGGTGGAAATATTAAAGGAGAAAACAGGACTATAGAGACTTTCTAAAACAAAAATCTGATATATTATGTGCCTTACTGTTCTGACAACATTTTTTGTTTCAGGTTCAGGTGCCCAGTGAAGTGGGAGACAAATCTTACCTTTTGCCCCCCCAGCCTGTCAAACAGTTCCTGATATCACCTCCGGCATCCCCACCCGTAGGATGGAAGCAGAGTGAAGATGCTACTCCCATGATAAACTATGACTTGCTTTGCGCTGTTTCAAAATTGGGGCCTGGTAGGAATGTTTTATTTTTTTCCCTTATGTTCTGTACTGATGCATCGGTCTTTATACAAGGCCTACTACTGAGGAATTCTGTCAGAGATGATGATGACCTGTTTAGATAGTTTTAGAGGGGAAATGGGCATGTTTGTGGAAGACTCAGGCTACTAATGAGTATGAACTTGGATGGATGTTTAGTTACTATTTAAAGGACTCGAAATATCCTTTAAGTCATAATAAAAGAAACCAATTACTCTTCATTTCATGTCTGTGAACTCCATGAATTGGCCGACCTGTAACATAATTTGTTGGTCTAGTACAGGGGTAGGCAACCTCAGCTCTTTTATGACTCATGGACTTCAACTCCCAGAATTCCTGAGTCAGCTATGCTGACTCAGGAATTCTGGGAGTTGAAGTCCATGAGTCATAAAAGAGCCGAGGTTGCCTACCCCTGGTCTAGTAGGACCTTGGCCTCTTCCAGCTTCAGAGCTTTTTTTAAGTTCTTATGTTAATAGAAAATAATAAAAGCAGATTTTCATGATAAACCATAGCAAATTGTCCAGCAGATGTCAAATAGGGCATTTTGGTTAACATTAATACATGACGTTACCAGAGAGTGTTTCAAAATATTATATTGGAGGCTTTGTGCTCCGTTTATGACAACTTCCTGTGAGATCCTATAACATTTGTATCGCTACATCTATATTACCCTTCCCCAACCTGGTGCCCTTGAACTGTATTGGCTCCCACAGCACAGAAATAGGGCACTGATGTCTAATATCTCTGGAGGGCCCCAGAGATTATCAGTCTGTATACAATAAGTATGATCACTCAAGAGCTTGGGATGATGTTTCCACCCAGGTTTTGACTATGGCACCACTCTCAGTCCCGGGCAGGGGAGATGGGGTGGCTATAGTTACCTGTGAGTTTCTGGTGGCTGGTAGAGATGCTGTTCCACAGAGTACTGAATTTCAGACCCTATTTGTGAAATTGGACCTAAGAGTTCAAAGGGGACTCTTGCCCCTGTACCAACCTCCCTGCTGCATAACAGACCTTTGCTACTCAGTGCTCTGACTGGACTTTCAGCAGACTTCCTCAGGCTTATGGTTCTGGAGGACTCTGCTTTCCTTGCCCATAGAATGAGAGGCAATTTGGGAGATTAAAGTTACTACAAGTATACAGCAAGCTGGGAACTGAAGTCCACACAGGGTTGAGGAACACTGGTATAAAGGGTTACTTACTATGCTGTCATACTCTCTAGGGGAAAAGTACGAGCTTCATGCTGGAACCGAATCCACTCCAAGCGTTGTGGTCCATGTGTGCGAAAGTGAAACTGAAGAGGAAGAGGAAGTGAAAAATCCCAAGCAGAAGATCGCGCAAACTCGCCGCCCAGACCCACCACCTGCCTTAATAAGTGAAACAAAAACTCTCGAATGTATGCTAGAAGTAGGAGGTGGGATGCACTACTGATTTGAAGCTATTTAATCATGGCAGTGGATGATTACTCCCATTTGCATTGCTGCATCCTGCGTAGCAGCAACAGACTCCTCTTTGCAGTCATCTCACATCAAGAAGACATTTTGAAGAGCACTTTAATTTTTAAGGTCAACTTCCAAGATGTAGCAAATCCACTAGGCTGCCAATCCTAGGAGAGTGCCATTTCTGGTAATCTGTGTTACCATTCTCTTGGTGTTTGTAAGGCCGAAGGAACTTGGCTGCTGCCATTTATATATGGGCTACCACATGGTTTTGTATGTGAGTCTCTCATGCATATTTTTGTGTGCTGATGTATACCATGAATCTGATTCACTTGATGTTCTAAGTAATCTAGTGACAAATTATACATGTAATGTACAATGTACATTGTTATCAGTAGGAGAATCTCAAACTGTTTTTGAGGTGATAGAATCAAATATTCAAGCAGGTTTGTTTTTGTGGTTTTGGTTTTTTTTTTCTTCTTATAGGTGCCATAGCTGTTTGTGTTGAATGTCAAGGTATTATTGTGAATTGTTGTAAGACAAGACAAAAACTAATTGGGAGTTGTAATGGTTCTTTTCTGCCCACTGCGATTAGGAAAATTTTAAAAAATTGAAATGCCTATAAGGATACAGTGGAGAAGGGATTCATTACCTTTGGAGAACATTTTCTTGATCTGTAGTTTTCCACCTACTATGGTTATATGTCTTACATGAGATATTTCCAAAGCAAGAAGCGTCGTCTTCTGCAGCTTGTTCTTCTTTGCCTGTTTTCAGAATATTCTGGTTGGCCAAGGAAGCATAGCCCTCTCACGCTTCACTTTCCCATCACTTTAACTGTTTCCCATGTGTGTCAAATTTATCATTTCTAGGATCCGATCACACATTCTGTGCCAAGATGTTTAGCCATGGTTTGTTCTACAAGCCATAGTAACCTGGTCTATTGATGAAGCTAAGCCAAAAACAAACCAGCTGCTTTATGTCTTATGCAATATGTAGATCAGCCTGCTGTCTTGTAGAGCAGCGGCCCCCAACCTTTTGGGCACCAGAGACCGTTTTTGTGGAGAGGGGTTTTCCCATGAACCGGAGGGTGCGTGGTTTTGCGTGCTGCCTCCATCCCATGGATGGGGCTTCACTTGTTTGCACGGACCAGTTTCTGGCACGCTACAGACTAGGATCGGTCCACGGACCACGGGTTGGGGAGCCCTGTTGTAGAGAATGCAAGTCAACATTTCCCAGTGAGCTTCTGGTTGAATTGCTTGTTTATTGCCTGATTTTCTCCCTGGCATTAAATAATCCCAGCTTGATTATTTCTGAGGAAGAAAGGAAGAGGTACACCAAGATAATTTGCATTCTGCTGTGCAGGAGGAAGGCGATCATTCAGATACAGCAACTTGAGAAATAAGGTTAGACCAGTTGTATAAATTGTTCTCTTTGCCTGCCTTTCTCTTCCCAATGTCTTTCTGCAAAATGCCACCTTTATTCAATTATTTCTGTAATACTACATGTCTTTTTATGGCTGAAATAAATGGAAAAACAGATTACAGGAAGTGTTGGGTTCTGCTTTATTGGTATAATCATTAATTACTGCAGATTCTTTGTGAATCAGATTGAATTCAGGGCAGAGAGTCGGTTTTTTCATCTTCTCTCTTTTTGCTGATGCAGCCTAGAGTTTGAGATGGCTCTCCTATTTTCCTTAGAACTGCTAGATTTGGGCAGCCGAAATTCAGATGACCACCAGATGGCAGCACATATAGTTTTCTGGTTCTCTTTGCTGCCCCTAGTGGTCATTGAATTTTTGTATCCCAGAGTTAAAATTAGAGGTTAAAAGATGAGCAGCTCTAGTTCTGCTGCTTATTTTTTAACCTCTTCTAGGCCGGATTCCAGAAAAAAAAAATCCCTTTGAATTCTCTGCATTTTTATCACAAAGAAAAGTGAGGAAATCACAAATGATGCCTAGCTGTTTACAGTGATTCAGGATAGTATTGTTTAACGTTAAGCAGAATTTTGCGTTGGTTGCAGATGAAAAATGTCTGATCATTTTACAACTCCAATATCACTAAATTTTACTGGGGGGTCTTGAAGCAATTAGATTCTTGGTCTAATGTTCGAGAATCTGAAGGATCATTGGACAACTTACGTATCTATAAGCTCTTTTGATGCAAATATATTAATTTAGGAGGATGAAACTAAAGGCTGCCAGAGTAAACCTTAGTTTGACTGTTACTTTAAGAACAAAAACCCAGATGACGTTTCCTACCATGTGACTTCATTCCGATATGAAATCAAAACAAAACTCAATATACTTCTTCTATAGAGAAGTATTGATTATTGATAGTAAAACGATGAGGATCCTGCCCTCTGCATTTGTGAGGTTGTGTACTTAATTCTCTTGCTGCTGAAGGACTACACTGTTGTAGAATGTAGAGATTGGGGTCTCAGCCTTTCATTGCCTCCTACATTCTCAAACTACATTTTCAAAATGCTAGTAGGGAGTCCCAGCTGAAGAGCAGTGAAAATGCTGGGTGCCCGCTCTGATTCATCCATCAGGAAAATAGATGCCACACATCTTGGCAGTGTATGATTTGGGGTCATCTGATCCTCTTTGTTGTTGTTAGTTGCGAAGTCGTGTCCGACCCATCGCGACCCCATGGACAACGTTCCTCCAGGCCTTCCTGTCCTCTACCATCTTCTAGAGTCCATTTAAGCTCACGCCTACTGCTTCAGTGACTCCATCCAGCCACCTCATTCTCTGTCGTCCCCTTCTTCTCTTGCCCTCCATCTTTCCCAGCATCAGGCTCTTCTCCAGTGAGTCCTTCCTTCTCATTAGGTGGCCAAAGTACTTGAGTTTCAACTTCAGGATCTGGCCTTCTAAGGAGCAGTTTGGGGTTGATCTCCTCTAGGACTGACCGGTTTGATCGCCTTGCAGTCCAGGGGACTTGCAGGAGTCTTCTCCAGCACCAGAGTTCAAAGGCCTCAATTCTTTGGCGCTCAGCCTTTGAAATGCCTTCTGTAAAGGAAGGGGGGGTAAGGAGGGGGACTTTTAACGTACTGGACATGTTCTTAAAAATTCAGGAAGATATTCAGGGATGTATCTTTGAAGCAGTAGGCGTGAGCTTAAATGGACTCCAGAAGATGGTAGAGGACAGGAAGACCTGGAGGAACGTTGTCCATGGGGTCGCGATGGGTCGGACACGACTTCGCAACTAACAACAACAACAATCTTTGAAAATAGTCATGGATCACGGATTTTGGACACATTTCTGAAGTTAGCCCATTTGAGGTACCATGGTTGAAAAGTTTTGCCCTACGATACATCTTTTCATCCAACTGTAACCAAGGTTACAGACATGAGAGTTTTAGTATTGCACAGATAAAGGCAGATGTTAATATTTTCCCCACACAGCACCAAAGGGACTCCGATGGCTTTGTTGTGATTTGCCTTGTTGTTAGAATCTCATAGGTACCGCCCAGTGGTTCTTAACCTGGGCGGTACCGCCCCCCAGGGGGCGATTTCATTTTTCAGGGGGGCGATGGAA